AGATCGAGTGTGTATATGTGCAGTATAACGCTCTCGCCTCCGATTTTCCCGAAATTTTGTAATCTCTACTTTATCTTATAATTATAAACAAACGGAACAAAAGAGCGACGAGAAATTTTCTTTTTCAGAATATATAATATGTATACATTGTATACATATATTCTACGTATCAAAATATACAAATTTACAAAATTTCAAGAAAATCGGAGATGAGAGCGTTGTATATCGCATATAATTACCGAAACCGCGGATCCCCGATATCCGATCCCGCAGCGGCGGAGGGCGAAGGGCGGCGGTGCCGACGCGTCGCGGCGCGGCGCAGCGCAGCGCGGCGCGCCTGGTTGGTATGTCGACCACGGCCGACCGATCGCACGCACCGCGCACCGCACCGCACCGCACGCCGCACGGCACGGGAACGGGACGACGACGCGAGATCCACGAGACGCGGCGCGACACACAACACAACACACGGTGACCTGCGTTCGACATGTTCCACCGGCGATGCGGCCACCGTGTCACCCTCAGCAACAACAACTGCACCGCCACGCGCAATTTCTCCGAGTACAATAACGGCCTGGTGTTCAGCGCCGAGCCGCTCCAGGACGACGAGCTCTTCGAAGTCACCATCGACAAGAAGGTATGCACGCGCACGCCTGCGGCCCGTTCCCGGCCACCGTCCAGCGCGACAAAATAACGCAGAATAATGAAATAACGTTAATTACACGCGGTGTTGTTTGTCGACAAATATCCTACATGTGTTATTTATCTCGTTCGTCGTGTTTAATTTAATTTATTTTTAGAGATACACTGACAGGCAGCGTGTTGCAAAAGCGCTGATATATAATTGTGCGTTAAAGTTTGACTTGTATTTAACTCTGGGAAATGGTGGTTGCGCAGATCATATCGTGGAGCGGCAGCATAGAAATTGGAGTAACGAAATGCGATCCCGAGACCCTGGACATACCATCCTGTGCCATAAACCTCCGTCACGGATCTTGGATCATGACCGGCTCCGGCATTGTTCACAACGGCGACCGCATCGTGGAGATATATGGGATGGATCTTACTGATCTGGAGGAGGGGAACACTTTGGGAGTCATGCGGACGTCCAATGTAATTCACACAGTTTATTAGCCCGTATCTGTTGTTCCGCGGAGAAATTAATGACAATCTTCCATCTGTAATTGTAGCACGAGCTGGTATTCCACATCAACGGTGTTTCGCAAGGCGTTGCGGTCAGCAGCATTCCGGAGCGTATCTTTGCTGTTGTAGATATGTACGGTGATTGCGTACAGGTCAGCGTTGCTCACCCGAGACTTGCCGCTTTGTGCAACGTGCCGAAAGACGAAGTCGAGATTAATAATGACTACGCTGTGGGGGAGACCTCTAGTTCCTCGACAACAAATCTAGTCGCTAACTTAAACGTTAATCTAAGTGTCAATGTAAACGTTAATTTACCGAAGAATCCAACTCCCGCCGCGATAAGGGAGGACAGGTTGAGGTTTCACGAGAGAGTTGGCTCGTTGGTGAAGCTCTCGAACAACGCCAGGACCGCCGAGAGGCGGAGGCCGCTCGACGAGTTTAACAACGGTGTCGTAATGACTCACAGGCCGCTGCGAGATAATGAATTATTTGAGGTGAGCATTCGGATCGATATGTTATCAATTGCAAGAAAGTATTTACATAAATTGCAATAACAAGACTGATTAACTGTTGCGATTCTGTAGCAAGACTTACTCTCTTATCTTCTCTGTAAATTGCGTATGTTGCAGATACGAATAGATAGGCTAGTATACAAGTGGTCGGGAAGTATAGAGGTCGGCGTTACCACTCACAGTCCTACGGCACTGGAGTTTCCAGCGACGATGACCAATATGCGTTCAGGTACAACGATGATGTCCGGCTGTGGTATTCTAACAAACGGCAAAGGTACGCAACGAGAATACGGCGAATTCAACTTGGACGAATTGCGGGTATGTGAGAAGGCCAGAGTTACAACACTGAATCTATAATTTAAACTTGCTTTTCTCTTCAAGCCGTTATTCTTTTTCACGTCCTGTCTTAGGAAGGGGACCGTGTGGGAATGATTAGGCAAAGTAACGGAGATCTTCACTACTTAATCAATGGCCTGAATCAGGGTGTCGCTGCTAAAGTACCGGCGGGCGTATGGGGTGTGATAGATCTGTATGGAATGACCGTGAAAGTAACCATTGTCGATCGCGACGAGAGAGAAGAGCAGAATCTAGTCACTAGGAGAAACACATTGCAGCTACAAGGTCTAGACAGCGAAGGTAATACATACATAGGATCTCTGACAAGTTTCACAGAAATAAAAACTGCTACGTTATGACACATGTAAATTTCATAGAAGCTGGTGAAGAAGAGCTACCTGATAGACTGATGTTTCATCCCTGTTGTGGGACACACGCTGACGTAATCAACAACGGACGTACAGCGCATAGGCCCAAGTAAACAGAGATACATTTGCTATATTTGACAATTTTTCAATCGCACGCGTTTTCTTAAAGGATGTAAATTTTTTCGCAGTGCCATAGACGATTTCAATAACGGCGTGGTATTGACGTCGAGGCCATTGAAGCCGAATGAGTTGTTCGAAGTCAGACTGGACAAAATTGTCACTAAATGGGCCGGTTCCATCGAGATAGGAGTCACCACGCATTCCCCGACGGAACTGGAATTCCCGTTTACCATGACAAATGTCAGGTAGGTGAGGCCAGTCTCGAGCGGTTTTCACGCAGTTATCGCCACCGAGCCACCGTATGTGCGGTGAGTTGTTCATCCGCTTATGTTATTGCTCGAAGGCGGCTCGTATCGGTTGCAGATCTGGCACGTGGATGATGACGGGCAACGGCGTGATGCACAACGGTACCACCATGATAGATCAATACGGTCAGAATCTGGACCGTCTGCAGATCGGCGATCGCGTAGGCGTGATGAGGAAGGACAATGCGACGCTACATTTCTACGTGAATGGCGCCGATCAAGGTGTAGCTGCGATGAACGTGCCCGAGAGGGTCTACGGGGTGATTGATCTCTACGGGCAGGCCGCCCAAGCTACTATAGTCGACAACGTGGACTTTTACAGTCCGACCACAAATAATTCGAGCTTTAGCAATACGACGTTATATAGGTATGATTTTCTGACAATTCAGTACAATTTCCTAACAATTCAGTGGCTTATCGTCGAACCACATGTGAATTACATTGTGTAAATCTATTGACAGCGATCTAAGGTTTCATCATGTACACGGTAAAAACGCGCGGATTACGAACAACGGTTTAACGGCGTCCAGGCCGCGAGCCCTGGGTGAATTCAACGAAGCTATTGTGATTGCGAATCGCGCGCTACGCGATGGCGAAATGTTCGAGGTGACGATAGATAAAATGGTTGCCAGATGGTCCGGTGCTATAGAAGCAGGTAATTGCTCTATCCTAGTTGTTATGACGAGCGTGTATCAAATGTAATAAAAGTTTTCCATAATTTTTCAAGAATAAAACTACTTACAGGGGTCACTGTGATAAGACCTGATGAATTAGAATTTCCGTCTACGATGACAGACATCGATCACGATACGTGGATGCTGTCCGGGTCGACAGTAATGCGTGACGGTGTGACGTTGCGTAACAACTACAGCTGCGATTTGGATAAATTGATGGAAGGTAATCGGATCGGAATGATGCGGTGTTCGGATTCCTCCTTACATTATTTCTTGGACGGAGTGGACCAAGGTCCTGCCTGTACTGGTTTACCGTCGAACGTTTACCCAGTGATCGACTTGTATGGTCAATGCGCACAGGTATAAGAATATATGCTTGTCCGATGGCAATCGTGTTTTAGCGTATTAATCCCGAATATCGTATTTCAGGTGACGATCGTGTTGCCCGAGCGGAGGGACCCTTTGACGCAGCAATACTTGCCATCAGAGAACAGTATTAGTCAACAGCCGACTTCGGTAATTCAGCCTCAGGTGCAAACTGAGATTCTACACAAGTTCCACGAGTCGGTCGGGCTGAACATTCAACTGAACAACGACAGAACAGTGGCGACAAGGTGTAGGGAATACAATAATGCTGTCTTGTTGAGCGAGGCAGCGCTGGAGAATAACGAGCTGTTCGAGATCGCCATTCAGGAAGTGGCGCGTGAGTGGAGCGGTTGCCTGAGAATAGGTGTCCTGAGTAACGAGACGGGCAATTGGTTAACGTCGATGAATCTCGTACCTGGTATGACGTCCATTCCAAGCGACGCTTGGTACTTGACGGGTAACGAGGTGAGACACATGGGTTTCGCGCTCGCCTCGAACTACTGTACGAGCCTGGATTGGTTGCGGGTGGGCGACAAGATCGGTGTAAAGCGCACGCACGAGGGCAACCTGAAGTTCTACGTAAACGGCGAGGACATGGGCGTGGCGGCGTCCGACGTGCCGGAGATGGTGTACGCGGTGATCGAGCTCTTCGGCAGCACTGTGGCCGTGAACATCACCAGCAGCAGGCAGCAGAATCCCGCCATATCCCCTAACGCTAGTTTGAGACTGCAAGACTCGCTGGAACTCCTGCTGGATCCAATGCCGCCGAGAAACGACGCGGGAATGGACACGTCCATCGATGTGTCCGAAGGGAAACTGATTAACGAGACGACGCTCACGCCGACGCAAGCCGCCGCCACCGGTTTAACCACCAGCGACGGAGATTGGAGCTACGAATTCCACGAGAATCACGGCAGGAACATTCAGCTCGAGACAAAAACGGTCGCCAAGCGAGTGGCCAGTTACAATCAGGGCGTAGTGATGTCCAGTCGTCCGCTGATAAAGGGCAAACCGTTCCAAGTTAGAATAGAGAAGCTAAACGAACGTTGGGTATCGAATATCCTTTGTGGCGTTTCTTGCATATCGCCGGAGAAGCAGACCAGCTTCCCGTTAACGGCGCTCGGCTTTAAGAGGCACTCTTGGATCATCTGCAGCGATTGGATATTTCACAACGGCACGAGGGTGAAGACGAAATACGGCGCCGGCTTGGAGAACCTTCAGTTCAACTCTATCGTGGGCTTGCTGATCGACGAGGACAGTCGGCTACACTTATTCATCAACAACGTGGATCAGGGAGTGGCCGCGACCGATCTACCGCCGTACGTTTTCGCCGTGATCGATCTGTACGGGCAGTGCGAGCAAGTGTCCATCGCGGGAGTCAACGAGGAGCCTTCCTACTCGAATGTTGCAATTGACAATGCCCTCGCGGCTCCTATCGAATGCGCGAGCGTGGAAACGGAGGATGTGGAGAATTCGCGCGAGAAAGCCGACCTGGAGTGTCACGAGAAGGAGAACGCAATGGCGACTACCTCGTCGGATCTCTCACCGTCTTCGACATCGCCGAGTGTGCCGAGTCAATGCAGCTCGAACGCCAGGGACGGCAACCTCGAGGTCGAGTACTCATCCTTCGGTAATAATAATAGCGCTAATGTGGCGAAAAATAGCGTAGGCATTAAAGCGACATCGAGTATCGACAGTAACAACTCGGACTCGGGCTCGGAGCTCAGCAACGAGCGAAGTGTCTGGACCAAGGCGTACCTGGACAACGTTGTGCTGCCAACGTTGAACAAGCAGCCCGAGAACAATTCGAGCGAGTCGAATCTCGACGCGGAGAATCGCGCCTTATGTACAAACGTAGAGATAAACAACGCGACTAACATTAACATACAGAAAGGCATGGTCGCCAGCGCGAGTAACATGACCAGCTTGAACGCGGCGATCACCGCGGCGAACGCCAACAACGCGATTAACGAAAGCATAGCGTCCAATAGTCAAGTCAATATTGTAAGCAGCACGCAGCAGAACAATTTGTCGGATCTTCCCAACAACGTTTGCGCCGGCTTCCACGAGTCGCGGCCCTACGCGACGAGTCGGGACAACATCCGGGACAACTCCTTCAACGGGAACATACCTCCGAGCCAGAACATAACGGCCAATCAACGGGATGTGCCGTATAATGCGTCCTCGGTACCATTTATGCCGTCGTCGTTACCGTCCACTCCACTCGGGTCCACCGTCGTCGCGTCGTCCAGGAAGTGTGACTATCTGAAGGTGTGCATGCAGCTGAAGAAGTCACTCGTTCTGCCAGACGAGTTTTTCTCCACTGATGAGATACTGTGCTACTGCAGCGCGTGCTACAAAGTGGACGGCGACAATGCGATCTGCAAGAAGGGTGAGCCGCCGGCGGAATTCGCGATACCGGTCGGCTGGGCCAGGTTCCCACTGAAGCAGAGCATCAATGCCAATCAGATCCCACAGAGCACGACGGACAAGTGGCACGTTGCGTTTTATGGCATACGTCTGGACGCGATAAGGTAATTAATCTTGGAACAATTAGATTTCTTCCTACGGTCGTCTGTTATTTATTAACATTACATTGTGTGTTCAGATTGATCCTGGATAGAGGAGAGCTAATGACCAAAGAGCAACTGGACCTGAGTAACTTGACAGCGGGCACAAAGAGCGAGGATCAGAATCCCCAAGTGTCGTTTTCGCCTAGCATCAAGTATGCCGCGTCCGACGAATTCACGAGAAAGTACCCGTGCGTATTCTCTTCCGCTTTTACATATTTATCGCATATTTGTTACGTGTCACATCTTAATTTTCAACTTTGTAGATATATCGATATGCAGTCGAATAAGAAACTGAACGCATCGACCGCGTTCCAATTGCTAGTGAGACCCGGCTCGTATACGATCAGTCCCGGCGACAAGGACAGTACCGATCTGCATTGCGAGTCCAGCAAGTGGGCCACCAAGGAAGCCGGAGCCACGGTGATCGTCGCTCTGCTCGTTCACCTGGACGGATTTTAATCCGTGCCCCATTTCCGAAAGTGTTTTCCGTGAACGTGTGTTTTCCCGTCACGTTTGTGCGCATCGAGCACTCCCGCAATCGGACCGTGACTGTTTGTACATACAATGTGCCGTTCGTTAACAGGAACTGTGGTAAGAGACTCTCGAGATCGATATATTTCAATTCCGTCGAAATCGCGCTGTATATTTATGTTAGACTCCGCGCAAGTTCCCTCGTGTGCGCTTAGCCGTTAATGGACCTTACCAAAAGATTTATGTGCTCGAGGTTTTAATGATCTTTTAACGTTTAATGCTTAAACTGTACAGTATGGATGATTATATAATATAGCTACGTTTATTTACATATAGAATCCAATAGGAAAGGGTTCGTTGTAGATTCGCTGGTTAGCTATATGACAATTTTGTGATGCACTGTAAAAGACTTTTAATTAGCGTAAGTTTTAAACGTTTTATCACACATGTGTCACATGTACTGTCGCTAGACTGGCCTAAGTTAATGCTCACGAGAACAAATGGTGTGTGAAATACATGGTATTATTATACGGTGATGATATTTGCCGTCTTGTGCGAAGAGAACACAGTATTTTTGACGCCCGCGCTTCACGCCTAATCGATATACCAAATCTGTATTGTATCGCATTAGTAAGTAAATCTCAAGACACGACACAATTTTTTTAACGCACTCTTCTGCAGCATATTCGATAGGAAAGAAATCGTGTAATATGTCTATGTTGTAGAAATAAATGCAAGTGCAATTCGCATTGCGAAATCGTCCACCAAAATCATCCATTTCGCGAATTAATAAATATTTCCATATTGCGATTTGAAGAATAGTAAGGAAATTTATTACAGTAAATGTTATACAATTTGTCATTATTAATTATGTAATTAATGCAATTATTTATTAACTAGAGATTTATTTATTTAACATGTGGGATAAATCCAGAATTAATCCGTGACAGAAAACTCATGTTCTTTTACTTTTTAGTTTTATAATGCATGCAGATTGCGAATGTGCAAAGAGCATATGCAGATTAAGATTGCACTGTAATTATAGACGAAAGGCAGCAACTCGTAAGAATTTAATCGGCAAGATTGCTGCGCAGGTTTCGTGCAGGAAGAATCGATCGGCTTTTAACATCAATATATTTGTTTTAATATATTTTGCCTAGTGTTTTCTTTTCATCGATTTCTTCAGACAGCTCTTTTAAGTGTAATAAATATATTCACACCCAAATTCGGACGTGCTGATCCCAGGAGCAGCTGGCCACTGCCATCCCGTTACCGGAGACGCAGAGCGACGTCACTCTGTTTTCATGGCCAGATAAAACACCTTCAACAGGAGAAAACAAAAAGCCTTTTACTGACATAATCATTTTTCATAAATGACAGCTTTCTTCCCCGCGACGGATCGATAAACTTACCGTTGTGTTGGGTCTTCAACGTGTCCCATATATGAATGGAATTGTCGTCGCTGCCGCAAAATATGAATCTGCCACTCAGGGACAGACCGCAAGATGTAAATCCGGGATTCGAGTTCGGCGGCTTGAAAGTGGCTAGCTCTTGATCGGATCTGAAGTCCCACAGTCTCGCGGTCTTGTCCTCGGACGCCGTTACAAAACCTTGTCCGGAAGGATGATACTAGGAGAACACAAAGTGATGAACACAATATTTAGTATCCTTATTAAATCCGCAACGAATCTGTGAAGTATAAAAATACTCGCCAAATACTCACACAGACGGAGTTTACGTCAGCGTCGTGACCGAAGAACGTCTGTTTGGCTTTCTCTTCCCGCAAATCCCACAGCTTGCAGGTTTTGTCGACCGAGCCGGTGACGTAAGTGTTGCCGTCGGGGGACAAGCTGATGCTCACCACGTCGCCCGAGTGCGCCTCGAAGTCCGTCGTTTTCTTGTTCGCCTCGAGGTCCCATATGCAACTAGATATACAAGACGTTCACCACCGGTAATTACCCATGAAATCGCCGTTTTTATCTTATCCTTATATATCTTATTCTTAAACATTACGTAATTAGATACATTTTCATGTCGCCGGACCCAGTGATGATTTTCTTGTCGTCGAGGAATCTGCAGGACGACAAGAATCCCTCGTAACCCAGAAGCTCCCTCGTGATCTTGGCGGATCCCGTGGCGTCGCGATTGTTCACGTCGTAGACGGTGCACATATTGTCCATACCGCCGCACGCGACGAAATTGCCGGATGGCGCGAAAGCCACCGACATCACCCAGGCTGAACGCAGAGGGATGACCTGCACTTTGTTGCCGGTCCACGTGTCCCAGATGATCAGCTTCCCGTCCAGCGATCCCGTCACACAATGTCTACGGCGTAAAGCGTAGATCGGTTTATAGATGCGTCCATTATTCTCAGTGTAAAAGATTCTCGAGGTACGATAAATTGTTTATTAATATATTACGATTGAAGCGTAAAAGAAAGAGTCCAACGAATCGAAGAATTATTACTGATTAAAACTGACCGACTATCGCCACTGAAGTGCACCGAATTGACTTTATTAATATGCCCCTTCAGCATCTTCTTAGTTGACAGTCTAACTTTGGGAGCATCCGCCACTCCAGCGCACGCTTCCGCCAACGTCGTATCCTGCTGCTTCTTTTGTTCTTCCTAAAATGAGTAAAACGGATAGAATTAATGAGTAAAAACAAGTCTGTTAGAAAATCTCATATTTATATAGATATAAAAATTATAACTGCGTGAAATACTGATACGTGAATCCCTCGGTTGTATAAAACGTTTAAACCTTGCATTTGTTGATGAGATCCTCCAGTTCTTTCTTTAGGGCTATAGTCTCGGCGTCGTCCTTGCCCATTTTTATCCTTCCTCGAGCGGCACGGAATTTCACCAATGCTCAGAAAAATATGAAAACTAAACGCCACCGACGTTCGACATGTGAAAACTGTCGAACGATTTTCGACAACATACAAAAGAAGCCTCAAGATCGTCTACTCTGCTGCCCCAGTAATTGTATTAGGTCGCCAGTTAATTCGATTTGTTGGGCATTAGCTCGGCTCGTTTACGTAACTTAATTACCTACATACACGATAACGCTTTTCGAAGAACATATCTGTATTATTTTCTTCAAAAATATACAGGAGGTGAAGCATGCGTGATAAGAAAAACTATAGAACAGATCTGTATTAAAGGAAGGTGGAAAAACAAGTTGATTATAGATACGATTTTCATTTCCTTGATATTAATGTAAATGTATGCACATATCGTTTACAGGACAGGATCAGACTGGAATGTTTCATTCACGTTTCACTGTAGAACTTCACGGGTCGATGATGGTATATTCCCCCGGAATAGGAAATCAACGCGAACAAAACCATCGACACGGTGCGACGGTTAGCCGCTCTTTTCGACCACAAAAACCATCAACCGTCTCGCTTTCGAGTCTCCCGCTTTCTCCTATAAATGTCCGAATCCTTTGGTACCGATCGATGTGACTCGGTGTGATCGCACGGCGATCGTTGCCGGATATTTATTCGCGATATCCGCAAATCTTTGAGAGCTAGAAGAGCTAAAGTAAACGTCGCTTTGTCGATTGTAAATATATCGAAATACAAACAAACGTAGTAATCTATAGATCAAGTAACTGTTGAAGATACATGAAGTATAAAATAATTTCTCAATTTCAATTCGGTGTACGTACAATATTAAGCCGCGGTGTAACGTGTAACAATTCTGACATTACGATTGAGCTTCGGCAATTTTCATGATAACAATTAGACGATATGAGAATACGAAGCGTCTCGGAAAGGCTGCTATCGATCGTTCTACTCTTATACGGAGATCAACTTGCGGCGGGAAACGAGGGAGTATGCAAGACGAAGCTAAGCCATGACGTCTATGTACCCTCGAACAATCTCTCGTGCCAAGAAGATGCCTCGGATAACAAATCATTCGTCATTGAGCGATACAAACCGGCGAAGAAATCTTGCGCATCGGACTTCGATACAACAGGTATCTTATTCCTCGTATTTGCGTTAATTGCAATTATAAATTGTCACGATCAAAATTTCATTTATTCAGAAGAGAAGAGGACACTTCACGCGCAATCTATATTTGCGCAATAATCTTTCATTAATCGACCAACAACATTAACAGTTTCTGCCCTAAAATGTATGGATCCTTTATTAATTTTTGCAGATACATTACAATATGATATTTTCGATCTTTATACGATTGCCACGAAATCTCAATGAGCGATACTTCTTCTTGCTGGTAGCACTCGATTCTTTACAACATTGATGAACTATCCGGCGAAGACGTTTCTTATTTCATTGACTGAGTCTGGAGAAGGTCGGTAAACGGTATCTATACGCAAACTATTCGAGGAAACGTTTCCTCATGGTTTTTCTCATATTTTTATCATAATTTTATCATCTTCTCATGATCTCACGGTCTTCTTGTGATTCCTTCATCGTCCTCATCGTGGGAATGCAAGCGTCCGGCGTAGATGCTCGACATCCTCCGAGCTTTTAGGCTTCTTCTGCGAAATCCGATATGGGAGAGGCCAACGCACGGTCCTCGCGTGCTAAAGATATAATATACTACGGGCGCTGCGATTTCTGATTACGGCTCTGCACGACGGTTTCCGTTGGCTCCATGCTCGCGGTGCGCACTGCAGTCCGCGTCAAGCGACGCCAAGCGACGGACGTGGATGTATGTCACCGAGGAGCGGTGCGGATCACCCCCAGGGTTCTTGCAGCTAGTGCGCTCGTGAGAGAGAGAGAGAAGGAGTGAGATGTTCGGTGGCAAGGGGACGACAATCGGATGCTGGCTCGTGTGGTGTTGCATCTTCCTGACATACCACGTGGTCAGCGAGGCACCAGCAGCCGGCGTTAACGGTATGACGCGATCGCCCTTTCAGCCCAGAACGGATGAATTCCGTGTCGGCATGTCGCAACGAAGATCGATACAGAAAGAGAGAGAGAGAGAGGGAGACCGTCCATGGCAAGCCGTTTAATTTTTCTAAACAATAACAGAAGTCTAAAGATTCAGAGAGCTTTCTCATCCAATGCTCTTTGGACTGAATATAAATCTCAGATGATTCTACGTGAATCATTAGGCCTGTCCTCGGTCGCTCATGTTATATTTTCGGTCAGAATACGACAGTCTACCTCCAGATATTTTGAAGGCAAAAGAAAGAGAAAGCTGAAAGTGCAATTGAGAAAATCAGACCTATTGCATGTAATTGCACAATATCGATGAAAATTTATTTAACAGCTCTTTGAATATATTAAAGAATATATTAAATTAATAATGAAAAAGAAATATACAGAGTTATAAAGTCTTCTAATAAGAACGTACTAAATTAGAATCGTTTACAGCGAAAACAGAGCTGAGGCTTCAATCAAAGAATTCTTTCACGGGTCCTCCAATGGCTCTCCTTCTCTTTCGTATTTTCTTTATTTGTCTAAAACCGGTGCTCCGAACACCCACACGTCAGTTTAGGATAAAAATATCCGTTTTGGAGAGTCCTACCTTAGCACGATCGCATCTCTTCAATCTTCCCGAGAAATCAATCGTAAATCGATTTAACAACAAAGAGAGTAATCTGTAATTATTTATTTTTTTGTAAGGAAAATCGGAGAAACGATGAACGGAGAATTGTCGACCGCAATTCGGTTGGTGACGAGTTTCGGCTCTTCTTCCTCCTCGAGATAACGCGTGCCTGAAATAATTAACTTCATCCGCAAGACACACTTTACACAGTTCGTTACCTTCACTAGCCTTAGTTTATTTAAACTAAGATGCTAAAAGCTTTATAATGATCTTGGAGAATTTTACAGTAATTATTTCTACAGAATAAAAATTATCAATATTTCAAAGAGGGAACTTTATGATGGTCTTCGTACGTCTGATTAATCGAATCTTTTGGAAACTTTTCGCCAATTAAATGTTGATTCAAAGAATAAAGATGGGGTCACAAAGGCTATCCGTGGGACGCATAATCTTGAGTCGAATATTTCTCGTTGCGTAATCAGTTTTTTAATGCTTGGACGATTGTAACACTGCCCTTTGGTCTTATCATAACAGCATGAACAATGTCTGTTATAATAAAACGAAGTGCGGCGTCCGCACGATTTATGCGTGGAAATACTTTATTTATCGTTCAAGTCTCAGTGAGAATCGCGTGATAACGAATACATGATGATCATTTCGTTTATAGAACGTGAAATTAATTCAATTAACTCGACTCCGTTCTTTTAGTCGGCATGTAACCAGATATCGAGTGCACGGTCCTTATCGTTCCACTTCCGGCGTTGATTGCTCGTCGCATCTCGAGCAGACTCGAGAGATACTCGAATCTTGAAATTTCTTAACTTAACGACGTTTTATAACTCGCCAAATTAGCGACGATCGTTTCTCTCAACTGATGTAACTACTAGATAGTCAATATATCTTAGCGTTAATATATTGTATACATTTTTCATTTTACAATCTTCTTGTAAAGTTGTTCCAAGGAGGATAATATTTTAAACGTTTTGCCCGATTTTTTCAATCGCTTTCCAAATGGACTTCCCCGTAGGCGCCTTTCCTCGAATTTCCATGGGTTCAGTCTGTTCTAAAAATATCTCATACGTTGCTTGCGTAAGTATCGACAGCTCAGTAATACAAACGCTGGAGCCGCGTGCTCTCTCTCAGCGCAGCCGGCGTACGTGCTGCGGCTCTCGTGGGCGACTACTTCTCGACGTGACATCACGAGATCGGCGTAACGCAAACGAGTTCACCAGCTGAGTACAATGACGGAATCGATGTAACGCGGCCCCGATGCACAGTCCATTCTCGAGCATCCCTCGTAACAATTTTCTTTGTCAATCTGTTCAATCATCTTCCCTGTACGACTTCGACTCTTTATACTCTTCAATAATACAAAGAAAAAAAATTTACCAGGCTGCCTCTTAATTTTCGATTGTCACTTTCTCCATCTCCATAACTGATTGTAACGTATATTTTTTTTAGATGTCCTGGTATTTACCGTCGCCTCCAACGAGACGGATGGCTTCCGAAGGTACCTGAGGTCGGCCGAGGTCTACGGATTTAGCGATAAATTGAACATCCTTGGCCTGGGAGAGACCTGGAAAGGCGGTAACGTTGTGAAATATTCCGGCGGTGGATACAAAATTAATTTGTTCAAGAAAGCTCTAAAAGATTATCAGAATGACGAGAAAAAGATTGTCTTGTTCACCGATAGGTGGGTACATTCTGATGCCGCAGAAAAGATATTTTATAATTTATAACGTGTACATTTCCTCCTTTCAGTTACGACGTTATATTTCTCGGCGGTTTGCCCGCCATCGTCGAGCGATTCCTGGACACCGGCGCTCGAGTTTTATTCTCCGCGGAGGGGTATTGCTGGCCGGATAAATCCCTGGCGGCTGACTATCCGCCCGTATCGAGGGGCAAACGATACCTGAACTCCGGTGGCTTCATCGGTTATGCGTCCGACTTGTACAAGATCCTGGACACCGCGCCGATCAAAGACGAGGACGATGATCAGTTGTTCTACACGACCGTGTATCTACAGGATGAACTTAGGTTACGGCACAAGATTAAGCTGGATCACAAATCCGAAATATTTCAGAATCTCCACGGTGCGGTAGGTAAGGACAAGCGGAGTCTGCGGGGAGGAGCGTCAAGCGTTTACCGTACTTTAATTATTATCGCCACTGTTGTCCTTCGCAGCCGATGTGGAGCTCAGGTTCAAGGGGGAGGAGGCTTATCTTCAGAACATCGTCTACAACACGGTGCCTCTGGTGCTTCACGGCAACGGGTTCAGCAAGCTGGTCTTAAATTCCTTGGGCAATTATCTGGCCCACGCCTGGACGGCGAACGAGGGATGTTTGGAGTGCTGGAACCGGACCATCGAGCTCGACAAGACCAAACCGGCAACGCATCCGGTTATTTTAATAGCCGTCTTCATCGAGCGTCCCACGCCGTTCCTGGAAGAATTCTTCCGAGCTATCTATCGTCAATCCTATCCGAAGTCAAGGCTACATCTGTTCGTTTACAACAACGTGCCCTATCACGAGGATGTGGTGGACGATTTCTTTGAAAAAATTGGCCAGGAATACCTGAGCGCGAAGCGGATATTGCCGAGCGACGGCGTCAGCGAGGTTGACGCGAGAAAGTTGGCAATGTAAGCATAAGCAAAGCACTCGTAACTCCGTAAAAGTATTTAAAGACTCGATGCGCACGCTATTTAATGTTGGAACGAGTGAAGGGACGCGCGACATTTAGAGGAATGCTAAAGAGCAGTCTGTTTCAGGGACCATTGCTTGTTGAAGGAGTGTTCTGGATACATGTCGGTCGACGCAGTCGCGCATCTGGACAACGAGCACACGTTGAAGTTACTGGTGGAGCAGCAGAGAGGTATCGTCGCGCCCTTGCTCATACGACCGTACAAAGCGTGGAGCAACTTCTGGGGCGCCATAACGGACGACGGATTTTACGCACGGAGCTTCGACTACATGGAGATAATAAAAAACGAACGCAGGTAAAGCGAATGTACAAATATCAATCATCTATATTTTTCGCTTAAACCGACTACAATCATACTCATAGATAGATGCCGATTTTAAAGCTGCACTTCTCGATAAGGATTGAGTACAATTTTTCACATTACGGAAGAATTTAATTTTCTTCTGCAAATTGTACAACGACAATACATATCGTTCTAAATCGTTTTCTTATTGTCTACCGTTTCTTAGGGTCTATCGTAGAAAGTTTTACGTATTACCTGGGCTTTATATATTTTCTTATCTATTATGTGTGTTCGTTTGGGATCTCTCGTACGCTCGCACTAATCGAAAGCGATGGAGAAGTCAGTCTTGAAAGACCTTCGATCGATGCTGTACATATTATCCGCCGTGCACTCGTAGACACCTGCGTCCATCTGAGTAGCGGGATCGATCTCGAGTTTCGATTTCACTTTGTCAGGACCGACTTGCCACTCGTGTATCTGCAAAGAATGGAATATCGTTAACGGTGGTAAAATATCGTTTGGTTATTGATTGTAGGTACGGCTCAATTGTTTGTTTCTGACGATTCCTCGGTTAAATAATTAAGAATATATTCACTGACATGTAGATAGTGATGAGTATAAATTTCGGCACCATCCTTGAACCACGTAACATGTGGGCGTGGATTGCCACGAGCGACGCAAAGGAAAGCTATTTTGTGCCCCAGAACGTATTCCAGATCGAAATGCGACGCCAGCAGTATCTTGGCTCCCTAAAAAAAGAACAAAAATTAATATACATCGGTGACGATTTTAGTTTTTAAATCAAATTAAAACATTGATCTTTTTCATTAAAATGATACGCGATGGAGTAATGCGAGAACGAAGAAGTGCCTCTTAGGCAATCTTTCTTTTCTACGTACGTTGTTATTGTTGTAATATTGATCGCTCTCCGGATCACGGTACTTCCCGGTAATGGGCAATCCAATTTGCACGCGGGACTTGCTCCTGCTCCTTCCGCGTCCTCTTCGGCCAAGTGTCTCTTGACAATTGAGCAATAATATACCCAGCAGGATTAGCAACAGCATGGAGCGTGACATGATAATCTGACAAAAGTGGAATGGAATGGAACGTTAACACATAATGTATCACGATTTTCAAACTTGCAGATTTTCGATATGTCGTTCGTTTCACTTGATTTTGGATCGAAACGATTGAAATTTACGTCGCGATCAAGTTTCGTTATTACGGGATTATGTGGAAACGCGCGGTGGATGCTGAAATTTGGCGCTTGGTGTTATTATTTAACGGCACGAAGATACGCCTGAGGATATACTCACTGTACGTTGCGGCGTTCGTCGATCACACGGAACTCCGATGTAACTGACAGGCACCTACTCATTACTCCCCTAGTGTCCTCTCGTATCTATTACAGACTTATATGCAGATAATGTATGTCGGTCTATATGCAGCGGTTATTCCTTTGCACTACATGATCGCCATCAATTCCTATCAAATCTACAGACCGCTTATCCATTAATTTAACCGTTTGTCCATTCCTTCCGGATGACTCAGGTTTCCGGTACAATTGCGGGTCACTTTGGAATTAGTTATGCCCGACGTGTTAAAATTTTGACTTAATTAAAATTTGCAATTATACGCGTTTTCAAGTTCAAGAGTTGAAAGCCGGGAAACGGAAGCTGTATACAGTGGGGAAATAACTGTGACGATTACACAGCGTTAGTATACTCATGCAAAATTGTTTATTTCACAATGTGCTACAGATTGTCGCGTTGGCGACGCAGCGATGCATGCCCTTCCATGCCACTTTCGCGCGGGGCGCGTTGCAATTGCCTTGTTAAATTCGCAGTAATGGACCATTTTCGATATATTCCTCGCGTCGCATACCCCTTATAACAGTTAATCGCGCTTTAATGAATTGAGGGAACCGCCGGATTTACATTTATATCTTTGCAGGTCCCACTGACGATCTGAAAGAGGTCTGTTTTGCTCGCGTCAGAGGGAAAGAAAAAAAAGACAAATTGTTATGACCTTAATCTTTACGTCGCCGAGCCACGTAGAAAGTTCAACTGATCTCTTAAATATCATGACCTGTTTCGCTTATCAATTTTTAGATTAGGAGCTATCTCGATCAGTAACTAACAATAATTATTGGGTTTAAATTTACTTATCAGGTAAAAATCTATTATATGTAGCAAATCAATAACAAATGTCTATATCTATTTTCGCACTGGATAATTATTTCGTTCTAATACTATGGCGATCGCGGAGCTACCGTTACTCGAGAAGACGACGTTTTAATACGAGATCATGACGTAGTCCGTTCTGAAGCCCCGACGATCGACTGCGTACTGATTGTCCGCCTGGCACTCGTAATATCCGGCGTCCTTCTGCGTCGCAGGGTCGATCTCCATTTTCGACTTTATCGTGTCGTTACCCACGGGCCACTCGTGCACCTGACAATAACAAACGTCGTCGATTCTCGCCGATCAGCATCCGAGAAGCGTATCCGCTCTCTTTAACAATGGATCCTCCTTTTAGGGAGGACGAGTATCCGCTACTTAAAACCGTGGGATTTAGCCTACCTGGAAGAATTTGTGATGGTACAGCTCGATCCCGTCCTTCAGCCAGGTGATCTCCGGTCTCGGGACACCGATCGCCATGCAGAAGAACGTGATTTTTCTGCCCAGCATGTAATCCAGCTCGAAGTGGGACGCCTTCACGATCTTGGCACCCTGCGAAAGACACCCGGCAAATGATATCACTAGGTCGCGCGCGCGCGCGCACACAGATACACAGATAGCACATAGATCCTTGTTGCGTCAACTCACATCCTTGTTCTCGTAATAGTGCGTACTGGCAGGATTTCGATTAGGTATCAGGATGTGCATTCGCGAGCCGAACACTCTTCCTCGGCCGCGGCCTCTCCCTCTACCACCGCCGCCCTTTGCCGCTTCTGTGCTTATCATTAGGGCCGTTAATAGGAGAAAATAGAGCAGCCGGCATCTCGTCATTTGGTCTATAACCAGAGAGAAACTCGGACGACTGGAGAGTGACCAACAACGCAAGAGCGGCCTCCGTCGCGAACACTTTATATACCTTATCGCGAACTCATTTGTCACTATTATACAGGCATTACCCACTACTCTTTTTATGTGTATACATATATATTACATTATACCGTTATGTTATATCGATTCGCGCGACCGTGAGAAATTCGATGATGAGATCAATGAGTCGCGTTCCGCGGGCAATAAACGTATTCAATCTATACGATGTAATCGCGCGCGCGACGCGCAATTCGTCAAGCGTGCACAAGCATTTCGTTATCCTTACCGGAAGATAGGGAGAGTACTTGGCTGACCTCTGGGCACGAGCGTATTACGGGAGACCGGATCCGCTAGGTCCTACCGCCTAAAATACGAATGAAACCACGAGGCGACGCGCGACGGACACGCGCAGTCACACGCTGGTGCGACAGAGTTATGAATCTCAATTGGATAATTATGCATAACTCATTGCCAAGTATGTTCAACGGCCAATCGCGGCTACCACTGCCATCACCTTACAAAACACTTAAGCGACGACCTCCGGAAAACAAGGCGACCGCGGTACACCCGGTCATGGGGCAAAACAAGGGCTCTCCGGTCTCCGCTGATGATCGCGCACGTTGCAACGCCTTCTCCGACGCGCAATTTGCCGAATCACGCCGATGTCTGGTTTCAGGGGACTGTGGAACGTGCCGTTCGTCAGTAACTGCTACTTGATCAACGCGACGATCATAGCGAACAAGGCGACCCGGCCGTCCTACGAGGATGGCGACCTGGACACGGAGATGGCGTTCGCCCAAGGAAACCGACAGCGAGGACTGTTCATGTACGTCAGCAATCGGCTCGAGTTCGGCCACCTCGTCGATCCGGATACCTACGACATTCGGCTCACCTATCCGGACATGTACCAGATCATGGACAACAAGCTGGACTGGGAGAAAAGGTACATTCATCCGAATTACAGCGAGAACTTCAACCCCGACAACAAGCCGATACAGGTAAAGATGATCCCCGATTAGCTAGCGAAGGATTTCTCGGAATTGTTTACTTCTATTATCTTCTGTCCAATTTCCATTGTTTGCAGCCGTGCCCGGATGTCTATTGGTTTCCCATTGTTAATGTCAGGTTCACCAAGGAGCTCGTAGGGATCGTTGAGACTTTCGGACAATGGTCGGACGGAACTAATCACGTAAGTTGGTACTTCGCGCGACTCTTTTATCAGCAATTAGCTTAGTAATTGTTATTGGAATTCTCATACTGTGTTGATAACTTTCTCGGCAGGATCCGCGATTGTCGGGTGGCTACGAAAACGTGCCAACCCGCGACATTCACATGAACCAAGTTCAGTACGAAGAACAGTGGTTGTACTTCTTGAAAGAATACGTTAGGCCGTTGCAGGAGCTCGTCTTCACCGGCTATTATCACGATGTAAGATTTCATTTGTGTTCGCTGGTCTTTCTAGGATTCTCGACTGGATTCCGGATACGAAGCGGTACCGACCCGTGATATTCACATGACTCAAGTCGGTCTACAGGACGCCTGGTTAAAGTTTCTAAAAGATTATGTCAGTCCCTTGCAACAGCATGTCTTTACAGGATATGATGACTACGTAAGATTCTAAAATTTCGATATATGGAAGGGGTCCTTAATGCGCACAGATCTCACAATGGTATATGCAATCCGCAATCGCTAAACGCACAGAGTTTAACTAAGGTTGTACCGCTTCGTAGCAAGTATTCGGGATCTCTGCGTTGTATGTAGATTCTTGAATTAAAGAACAATGATGATTTGAGAAAACTAATCATCATTCAAAGCTACGTTTAGTTGCTATAGATTATTTTACTTGGAACCACGTTGTTATGCTAATCTCATGTGTCGGCAGCCACCACGGTCCCTTATGAATTTCGTCGTGAGGTATCGCCCGGATGAGCAGCCATCCTTGAGGCCGCATCACGACTCTTCGACCTACACCATCAATATCGCCCTGAATCAAGCGGGAGTGGATTACGAGGGCGGCGGATGCAGGTTCATCCGGTACAACTGCTCGGTCACCGACACGAAGCCAGGCTGGATGCTGTTGCATCCAGGACGACTGACGCACTATCACGAGGGGTTGCGAGTAATCGCGGGCACACGTTACATCATGATCTCTTTCGTGGATCCGTGATAAAATTTCACCGTGAATCTATAAATTATCGAACTTATCGCCGTATTGAAAATGTACTGCCACCGTATCGAGAACAAATATCAAAAGAAGAGAAAGATAACGCACGGTATCAAAGAGAAATGTAACTCTACGTGGACGTGTTCATTGTTATTGTCGACTAGAAATCGTCAATTGCCACTGATGGACTGAATAGTGAATTTAACAAGAAATGTGAAAGCTGCTTAACCGATGTATTATTTTTGTACTCCGACGTAAATGCACGCCTAATCGTGCTTTTCACAGTTAGCGATATTGCCAATTTATACAGAGATGATAAAATTGGAACATATATAATATATATATATATATATATATATTGTGCAATATTCGTTGACACCTCAATTCGCAAGCTCTCTCAAAGTATACATAAACAGATCAATAATAAAATTTATAATAATAAATATTAAATATGACGAGTATATTATCCATGTTAATCTTTCCTTACATTCTACTTTCTTTAAATACGGAAGGGAGAAGGGTTTCAAATCTCTTCAAGTTCAACATTCTTGTTTTCGATTTTCCATTGTATATCTATATAATTTTTCAATATGTTACAATCTTAGGAACATCAACAGGATAAATAATTAAAAGTAACGTCACCGAATAGCAAATTTTCAAAAATCGATTTTAATTACATCCCCTGCACATTTATTTACAGAGTAAAAAACGCACTTCTGCCAGAATTAACCGCGACAGTACATGTTACTTGTGCAAAACTAACATAATTAAAGCCATGTTACTTTCACTACTGGAATAAGTACTCATTGAATTGAAATTGTTACACGAATTTCAACGCGGACTTAATTCTTTTAACCATTCACTATATTGCTTTCTTATCCCATTAAATTATCCGGAATACTACGTGTAACTGTATTCCATCTAAATTAAATCTTAAAGCACTTTCGGTTTTTTCATTCGTTTAGCGCCACTTGTGTATATGCGACAATTCTGGAATGCTACGCGGTTCAAAATAATTTAGAATGCAGCGTAAATAAGAAGCGAATTAAACGTAAAATATTTATGTAAAATACGTTTCAGCCAAATCCTCAGTTGAATCTTCTAGCCACATTAGACATTTGGTAATCACGAATGCTATAAATTTAAATTCACAATAACGTTTAATTTAACTAAATCTTATTTACAGTTTTCGAGTCATAGAAAAAAATGGTTATATATATATATATTTTTTTTTTATTTATCTCAGAAACCAGCCCGTTTCAATTCATTCAACTGATGCGCCAGTTTCTCTTCCTTGGTTCGCCTAGCTTGGCCCAGCTTTCGGCATTCGATATACGTGCTGAGAAAGCGCTCGACGTCGATCTTCCGGTTGAGAAAGTCCTCCGCAATCTTTTCACTCTCTTCATGGCTCTCATCCGCCGCCTGCCTCAAACACTCTTTTATGTGATCCGGCGTAAAGACGTCGGACAATTTGTTGTATCGTTGTATGAGATTATCATATCTGGCTTTCAGCGCTGCCACCGTTTTCACCTTGTCCGCTACATCAGCCTGCAGCTGCTTCAGTTCGGGTTCTTTGGCTGCATTAGCTTCTACGAGAAAAAATTACGAGCTCATTAGGCAATCAAACTAGACTGTCGGTAGATATATGAAATAGGAAAGAATTAATAGAACGTGTTTTTATGTGATTTTATTATTTCAATAGCAAAGATATTTCTGTTCTTACCGGCAGTTTTTTCAACCCAATCCATGGCATCCTCGATCGCCGCATTTATATCTTTAATGTCGGAATGTTTCTCCAGGAATTCGTCTAGCTTATCGTCATCCTCGCTGAGCCTCTTCAATTCCTCGTTAGTCAAATTATTTAACTCGGGAAATATTATGCTCTGCGGCGCTTTCGCCTGCGATTGATTCGGCAACGGCTGCTGGTAGTTCGCGTTCGCGTAATGTGAATTCAGGTAAGGCGCGCCATGCTGCTGATCCGAGGTGTACCGCGCGGACGTGGAATTTTGAAGGGTGCTGTTTCTTGAGCTTGGAATATACGCCGAGTGATGCGACGTGCCGCCGAACGACTTCGAGGACGAGACGTACGTGTGGCCGGAGTTCGTATAGTTGTAATTGTAAATGCTCGTGTTTGCATTGGAGGACGACAGATGCGGATACTGCGTGTTGTAATACGAATTGAACGACGTCGACGGGATTTCGACGGGATACTGTTGAAGCGAGTAAGACGGCGAGTTCCTTCCCTGTAGGTCTGCAATCGTACGCGTGAAGTATGTCATTTATATCGGCACACGATGGGACAAGTAAGATAGCGACGTGTACCTGGGTGAGATTTAGTAGAGCCAGGCGAAATATCCTCTAAGAATTGCGGCGGATTCTTGCTGAATTCTCTGATAATAGCTTGGACGACCCGACCGAGGTCACTGTGTACTGAAAACTGGCGTAACAACAAGAAATTATCTCAGACGTACAAAATACATGAAAATAAAGCTGCGGTCCACTTAACACTTACAAAAGCATTCCTCTTCTCCTTT